GCTGTACTCGTTCCCGCTCACGGAGTATTGCAACCTCACGTTCTTGTTCTTCTTTCCTCAAGGCAGTTTCACGTTCCTTGAGGGCGATTTCACGTTCCTTGAGGGCGATTTCACGTTCTTGTTCTTCCTTTCGTATGGCAGCTGCTTCCCTTTGTTGCTCGAGGGCTTCCCTTTGCTGCTCGCGTTCAATCTTGGCCAGCTCTAGTTTGAGTTTCATCGTTGCCAAATCAGTTTTATCTGCAATAAAGTAAGTTTCGTGAGTTTCAGAGTCTATCTTACCTTGCTCTAAGAAATGATCCAGTAACAGGTTGTGTATTTCATTTTTGTTGGCTTGGTAGGGAACTTCTAGTTGATACTCATGTGCAAGAGTGTGTAATTCAGTCCTCTTGGCACGACTTAAAGGCCCTATTTCACCTGCTGGATCTGCACGGAAAGCTTGGAGACGAAACATGGTGAAATTAGCAAATAAATGCACAACGAATATACTGTTGTGATATGGTGAATGTCAGAAACAGGACAACGTGGCAACTGGTACCTATCCTGTGGAATCTTTAACAATTAAAGTTAATTACAAGATGTTAAATGATTAATTAAATCAAGGTCGCAGGAAATCTTGTACCCGGTACTCATGTAAGAGGATAAGGGCAAGAAAATCCTACTAAACAAGCGAAACTGAGTTTCTAAAACAAATGAAACAGTTAATTGCCTCAAAAGTAAAATTGGTAGTCCAAGAATGTAGGCATACCTTGCCGAGTCTCTATAGGACATAAGCAAGTTTTCCCACTGAAATTAATATGATACTTACAGAATTAGCGAACTTTTGTGCTCTGAAAAAGAAAGCTAATTCCCTACCAATGTAAATATCATCATCTCTGACCGACGTGTAGGGGTGCGAGGTGTCAACTGGTGACGAGAACTGCTGCTGAGGTCCCAATTCAGCAACTAAAGTTCGTGCTAGAGGAACTATGGCCCTCTTTATCCTCCTACTGTCAGATTGCAGAAGATAGGTGCACTTGACCCGGGGGCAGACCACAGTACCAGGGTACCAATATGATGATCTGTCGAAAATATGAGAAATATCCTAGGGACAAAAGATGGTAAACACGAGTAATAACACGGAGGGAGAGATGACCAATTAAGAGAATGACTGAGGCCTACAGTCACCATGTAATCCAAAGTTGTCTCACCTTCACCATATGCTACTCTCGGAATGCACAATACACACAGCACCATATAAAAATAAAATTGAATATGAAAAATAGTAAAAAGCTACGTTACCAAAGCCAAATACGCTTACCATAAATTACTACTTGGCACCAGTACCTGAGTGAAGCTCCTAGGACAGGCCCCCACTTTAATGTGACGGTAAAGCGTTGGTGTTCGGCTGTTTCAAAAGCTAGGGGCAGGGCCTCGTCACATTAGAGAAAAAAAAAGAGAAAAGCTGGAACTTTCGTCTGTGGTAAGGTAATGGGAAGACACACAAAACACAAGTAAATTTAACAATGAAATTTTAATTACGTTAGAGAAACAAGACATGAATAAAGTTAAGCATATAAAATATAACAGACAAGTCAACAAACAAACTTTTATGAATAATCACTGGCAAATGAAAAGTTACGTTAAGACAAGTGAGTTACAGTGATAGCAAAATAAATATGAATGGAGCTGGAATATTGGCTTCGAGCTGCCACCTCCCTTAGTACACGAAAGCCAAGGCTTAGTCTACCAGCGAGAGATGTCAACTGCAAGGAGCACTGAGATATTCTGACGATACTGGGCCACTGCAGCCCAGACATCAACTTGTGGCGGAGGGCAGGGCAGGTGCGACGGGACACCAGCCAATCAGCGACAGGCAGGCAAAGGACAAGCAGTTTGCTGGTTTACGGTGGCGGTAGCTAGCAGGTGTGCCGGTGTGCTGGATACGTTTTGCTCTCTGGGCAAAACGTTTTGGAGATACTTGCTGGACGTATCTTCTATATTATCTGTTGTTTTTACGTACTTTGTAGGGAAGAGCAGGCTCAATCTCTCTTGAAAGAGATTATCGTCACAATATATATATATATATATATATATATATATATATATATATATATATATATATATATATATATATATATATATATATATATATATATATGAAAACTTGTTTGTGGTCTTAGACATTATGAGACATTTGCTTATAATTTGTTTTGTATTTCTTGTCAGTCCTTGTCAAATCATGGTGGAATTGGAAACGTGTCATTCTCAAGTAGGTGTTGTAAGGTCATGTGTCAGCCTGGTAGGTGTTGTAAGGTCATGTGTCAGCCTGGTAGGTGTTGTAAGGTCATGTGTCAGCCTGGTAGGTGTTGTAAGGTCGTGTGTCAGCCTGGTAGGTGTTGTAAGGTCGTGTGTCAGCCTGGTAGGTGTTGTAAGGTCGTGTGTCAGCCTGGTAGGTGTTGTAAGGTCGTGTGTCAGCCTGGTAGGTGTTGTAAGGTCGTGTGTCAGCCTGGTAGGTGGTGTAAGGTCGTGTGTCAGCCTGGTAGGTGTTGTAAGGTCGTGTGTCAGCCTGGTAGGTGTTGTAAGGTCATGTGTCAGCCTGGTAGGTGTTGTAAGGTCGTGTGTCAACCTGGTAGGTACTGTAAGGTCGTGTGTCAACCTGGTAGGTACTGTAAGGTTGTGTGTCAACCTGGTAGGTACTGTAAGGTCGTGTGTCAGCCTGGTAGGTACTGTAAGGTCGTGTGTCAACCTGGTAGGTGTTGTAAGGTCGTGTGTCAACCTGGTAGGTACTGTAAGGTCGTGTGTCAACCTGGTAGGTGTTGTAAGGTCGTGTGTCAACCTGGTAGGTACTGTAAGGTCGTGTGTCAACCTGGTAGGTACTGTAAGGTCGTGTGTCAACCTGGTAGGTACTGTAAGGTCGTGTGTCAACCTGGTAGGTACTGTAAGGTCGTGTGTCAACCTGGTAGGTACTGTAAGGTCGTGTGTCAGCCTGATAGGTACTGTAAGGTCGTGTGTCAACCTTGTAGGTACTGTAAGGTCGTGTGTCAGCCTGATAGGTACTGTAAGGTCGTGTGTCAACCTTGTAGGTACTGTAAGGTCGTGTGTCAGCCTGATAGGTACTGTAAGGTCGTGTGTCAACCTGATAGGTACTGTAAGGTCGTGTGTCAACCTGATAGGTACTGTAAGGTCGTGTGTCAACCTGGTAGGTACTGTAAGGTCGTGTGTCAACCTGGTAGGTACTGTAAGGTCGTGTGTCAACCTGATAGGTACTGTAAGGTCGTGTGTCAGCCTGGTAGGTACTGTAAGGTCGTGTGTCAACCTGGTAGGTACTGTAAGGTCGTGTGTCAACCTGATAGGTACTGTAAGGTCGTGTGTCAGCCTGGTAGGTACTGTAAGGTCGTGTGTCAGCCTGGTAGGTACTGTAAGGTCGTGTGTCAGCCTGGTAGGTACTGTAAGGTCGTGTGTCAGCCTGGTAGGTACTGTAAGGTCGTGTGTCAGCCTGGTAGGTACTGTAAGGTCGTGTGTCAACCTGGTAGGTACTGTAAGGTCGTGTGTCAACCTGATAGGTACTGTAAGGTCGTGTGTCAGCCTGGTAGGTACTGTAAGGTCGTGTGTCAGCCTGGTAGGTACTGTAAGGTCGTGTGTCAGCCTGGTAGGTACTGTAAGGTCGTGTGTCAACCTGGTAGGTGTTGTAAGGTCATGTGTCAGCCTGGTAGGTACTGTAAGGTCGTGTGGCAGCCTGGTAGGTACTGTAAGGTCGTGTGTCAACCTGGTAGGTACTGTAAGGTCGTGTGTCAGCCTGGTAGGTACTGTAAGGTCGTGTGTCAGCCTGGTAGGTACTGTAAGGTCGTGTGTCAGCCTGGTAGGTACTGTAAGGTCGTGTGTCAGCCTGGTAGGTACTGTAAGGTCGTGTGGCAGCCTGGTAGGTACTGTAAGGTCGTGTGTCAACCTGGTAGGTACTGTAAGGTCGTGTGTCAGCCTGGTAGGTACTGTAAGGTCGTGTGTCAGCCTGGTAGGTACTGTAAGGTCGTGTGTCAGCCTGGTAGGTACTGTAAGGTCGTGTGTCAGCCTGGTAGGTACTGTAAGGTCGTGTGTCAGCCTGGTAGGTACTGTAAGGTCGTGTGTCAGCCTGGTAGGTACTGTAAGGTCATGTGTCAGCCTGGTAGGTACTGTAAGGTCGTGTGTCAGCCTGGTAGGTACTGTAAGGTCATGTGTCAGCCTGGTAGTTACTGTAAGGTCGTGTGTCAGCCTGGTGGGTACTGTAAGGTCGTGTGTCAGCCTGGTGGGTACTGTAAGGTCGTGTGTCAACCTGGTGGATACTGTAAGGTCGTGTGTCAACCTGGTGGATATTGTAAAGACATGTGTCATACGATAGATATTGTTAACTCAGGCGTTATTTCGACTACCTGTTTGATGCTCAGGTATTATCTCGTGTTATTAAGCGCTAAGATGCTCACAGGTGCCTTTACTCCCCCTCGGGAGGAGGAAGAAAAATGCAGCATCCCGCCCCGTTGGTAGATCATTACTCAGGCTCCAGCATCCTGGTCCCGCTCCCAGGCCTCTCTTGCCCCTCACTCACTCACTCATCTTTCGTGAGTAACAGCCTCTCTGTCACTCACTTGTGTTTCTGGAGTAACCTCCTCACCGTCACTCATATTCTCTCATTCATGTAGTTCAAATACAAATAATCTCACCTAAGAGAGCCTAAACTCCTAACCTAACTTATGCCTTGCTATATGTATATAACTCAAGCATGCAGTATTATTAATTAATATACGAGAACAAACCTCTTTTTCATTCTCAGTATGTTAAAACGGATAAATGCTTCTTGTGGGCACGGCCGCCGCTTTAACGAGCCTGGCCTGTGGACAGGTTGGTTGCCTAAGGCCAGGCTGGAGGGAACACTGCCCTTCAGGCAACAGTCTGACAGTGGACCATTAATGGACCATTACTGGCAGCCTGACACATTATGCTGCTCCTCTACTGTACCGCAGTGTCCATGGCGACGACTGTCAGCTGTGTCCATGGCGACGACTGTCAGCTGTGTCCCTGGCGACGACTGTCAGCTGTGTCCATGGCGACGACTGTCAGCTGTGTCCATGGCGACGACTGTCAGCTGTGTCCATGGCGACGACTGCCAGCTGTGTCCATGGCGACGACTGCCAGCTGTGTTCCTGGCGACGACTGCCAGCTGTGTCCCTGGCGACGACTGTCAGCTGTGTCCATGGCGACGACTGTCAGCTGTGTCCATGGCGACGACTGTCAGCTGTGTCCATGGCGACGACTGTCAGCTGTGTCTATTGCGACGACTGTCAGCTGTGTCCATGGCGACGACTGTCAGCTGTGTCTATTGCGACGACTGTCAGCTGTGTCCATGGCGACGACTGCCAGCTGTGTCCCTGGCGACGACTGTCAGCTTTGTCCATGGCGACGACTGCCAGCTGTGTCCATGGCGACGACTGTCAGCTGTGTCCATGGCGACGACTGTCAGCTGTGTCCCTGGCGACGACTGCCAGCTGTGTCCATGGCGACGACTGCCAGCTGTGTCCCTGGCGACGACTGTCAGCTGTGTCCATTGCGACGACTGTCAGCTGTGTCCATGGCGACGACTGTCAGCTGTGTCCCTGGCGACGACTGTCAGCTTTGTCCATGGCGACGACTGCCAGCTGTGTCCATGGCGACAACTGTCAGCTGTGTCCATGGCGACGACTGTCAGCGGTGTCCATGGCGACGACTGCCAGCTGTGTCCATGGCGACGACTGCCAGCTGTGTCCATGGCGACGACTGTCAGCTGTGTCCCTGGCGACGACTCTCAGCTGTGTCCATGGCGACGACTGTCAGCTGTGTCCATGGCGACGACTGTCAGCTGTGTCCATGGCGACGACTGCCAGCTGTGTCCATGGCGACGACTGTCAGCTGTGTCCATGGCGACGACTGCCAGCTGTGTCCATGGCGACGACTGCCAGCTGTGTCCATGGCGACGACTGCCAGCTGTGTCCATGGCGACGACTGTCAGCTGTGTCCATGGCGACGACTGTCAGCTGTGTCCATGGCGACGACTGCCAGCTGTGTCCCTGGCGACGACTGCCAGCTGTGTCCCTGGCGACGACTGCCAGCTGTGTCCCTGGCGACGACTGCCAGCTGTGTCCCTGGCGACGACTGCCAGCTGTGTCCCTGGCGACGACTGCCAGCTGTGTCCATGGCGACGACTGCCAGCTGTGTCCCTGGCGACGACTGCCAGCTGTGTCCATGGCGACGACTGCCAGCTGAGCTTCTCCCGTTGTTGACGCCTCAAGATTTCCTGCCGTGTTACCTGGAAGGTGTGTTCTTGTTGTTGTTGCTACCAGCCCGTCCTCCTAAGGTGCCCAATCGTCAAGAAACTGTGGTACTAAATTGTCCCGTTATCCTAACCTACCAGAGGACCCAAAACAGAAAACGGGACAGTATGTCAGTTTCGAGAGCCGCTTCCATTTTCTAGTACGACGATTTTTGACCTTTGGTGGAGTATACCTCAAAATGCGACGCTGTGTTAGGAGGACGAGTTGGTGCTGGTTGAGCCGTACACTGGTGTTGTTGGAGCACCACCTGGAGGTACTCACCTTGTTGTGCTTGAGGGGGTTGATCTTCGGCTCTTTATTTCCGCCTCTCTCAACTGTCAATCAACAGGTGTGCATGTTCCTGAGCCTACAGGGCTCTATACTCTCTGTATTTGGAACTGTGTATGGAGTCTGCCTCCACGACGTCACTGCTTAATGAATTCCACCTGTTAACTACTCTGACACTGAAAAAGTTCTTTCTAACGTCCCCTGTAGCTCATTTGGGTACTCAGTTTCCACCCGTGTTCCCTCGTTCGCGTACCACCAGTGTTCCTTTGCTCGTGCACCCCCCCCTTATCCCCCCGTGTACCTCCAGGTAGGTAACTAACCCAGCAGTTAGGTAACTAGCCCAGCAGTTAGGTAACTAACCCAGCAGTTAGGTAACTAGCCCAGCAGTTAGGTAACTAACCCAGCAGTTCGGTAACAGACCCAGCAGTTAGGTAACTAACCCAGCAGTTAGGTAACTAACCCAGCAGTTTGGTAACTGACCCAGCAGTTAGGTAACAGACCCAGCAGTTAGTTAATTGACCCAGCAGTTAGGTAACAGACCCAGCAGTTAGGTAACAGACCCAGCAGTTAGGTAACAGACCCAGCAGTTAGTTAATTGACCCAGCAGTTAGGTAACAGACCCAGCAGTTAGGTAACAGACCCAGCAGTTAGGTAACAGACTCAGCAGTTAGGTAACATACCCAGCAGTTAGGTAACAGACCCAGCAGTTAGGTTACACACCCAGCAGTTAGGTAACTGACTCAGCAGTTTGGTAACAGACCCAGCAGTTAGGTAACAGACCCAGCAGTTAGGTAACAGACCCAGCAGTTAGGTAACTAACCCAGCAGTTAGGTAACTAACCCAGCAGTTAGGTAACAGACCCAGCAGTTAGGTAACAGACCCAGCAGTTTGGTAACTAACCCAGCAGTTAGGTAACTAACCCAGCAGTTTGGTAACTGACCCAGCAGTTAAGTAACAGACTCAGCAGTTAGGTAACAGACCCAGCAGTTAGGTAACTAACCCAGCAGTTAGGTAACTAACCCAGCAGTTTGGTAACTGACCCAGCAGTTAGGTTACACACCCAGCAGTTAGGTAACTGACCCAGCAGTTTGGTAACAGACCCAGCAGTTAGGTAACAGACCCAGCAGTTAGGTAACAGACCCAGCAGTTAGGTAACAGACCCAGCAGTTAGGTAACTAACCCAGCAGTTTGGTAACAGACCCAGCAGTTAGGTAACAGACCCAGCAGTTAGGTAACAGACCCAGCAGTTAGGTAACTAACCCAGCAGTTTGGTAACAGACCCAGCAGTTAGGTAACAGACCCAGCAGTTAGGTAACTAACCCAGCAGTTTGGTAACAGACCCAGCAGTTAGGTAACAGACCCAGCAGTTAGGTAACAGACCCAACAGTTAGGTAACTAACCCAGCAGTTAGGTAACTAACCCAGCAGTTAGGTAACAGACCCAGCAGTTAGGTAACAGACCCAGCAGTTAGGTTACACACCCAGCAGTTAGGTAACTGACCCAGCAGTTTGGTAACAGACCCAGCAGTTAGGTAACTGACCCAGCAGTTAGGTAACAGACCCAGAAGTTAGGTAACAGACCCAGCAGTTAGGTTACATACCCAGCAGTAAGGTAACCGACCCAGTAGTTTGGTAACTGACCCAGCAGTTAGGTAACTGACCCAGCAGTTAGGTAACTGACCCAGAAGTTAGGTAACAGACCCAGCAGTTAGGTTACATACCCAGCAGTTAGGTATCTGACCCAGCAGTTTGGTAACTGACCCAGCAGTTAGCTAACAGACCCAGAAGTTAGGTAACAGACCCAGCAGTTAGGTTACATACCCAGCAGTTAGGTATCTGATCCAGCAGTTTGGTAACTGACCCAGCAGTTAGTTAACTGACCCAGCAGTTAGTTAACTGACCCAACAGTTAGGTAACTAACGCAACAGTTAGGTAACTGACCCAGCAGCTAGGTAACTGACCCAGCAGTTAGATAACTGACCCATCAGTTAGGTAACTGACCCAACAGTTAGATAACTGACCCAGCAGCTAGGTAACTGACCCAGCAGTTAGATAACTGACCCATCAGTTAGGTAACTGACCCAACAGTTAGGTAACTGACCCAGCAACTTGGTAACTGACCCAGCAGTTAGATAACTGACCCATCAGTTAGGTAAATGACCCAACAGGTAGGTAACTGACCCAGCAGCTAGGTAACTGACCCAGCAGTTAGATAACTGACCCATCAGTTAGGTAACTGACCCAGTAGCTAGGTAACTGACCCAGCAGTTTGGTAACTGACCCAGCAGTTAGTTAACTGACCCAGCAGTAGTTAACTGACCCAGCAGTTAGTTAACTGACCCAACAGTTAGGTAACTAACGCAACAGTTAGGTAACTGACCCAGCAGCTAGGTAACTGACCCAGCAGTTAGATAACTGACCCATCAGTTAGGTAACTGACCCAGCAGTTAGTTAACTGACCCAGCAGTTAGTTAACTGACCCAACAGTTAGGTAACTAACGCAACAGTTAGGTAACTGACCCAGCAGCTAGGTAACTGACCCAGCAGTTAGATAACTGACCCATCAGTTAGGTAACTGACCCAACAGTTAGGTAACTGACCCAGCAGCTAGGTAACTGACCCAGCAGTTAGATAACTGACCCATCAGTTAGGTAACTGACCCAGCAGCTAGGTAACTGACCCAGCAGTTTGGTAACTGACCCAGCAGTTTGGTATCTGACCCATCAGTTAGGTAACTGACCCAACAGTTAGGTAACTGACCCAGCAGCTTGGTAACTGACCCAGCAGTTAGGTAACTGACCCAGCAGTTAGGTAACTGACCCAGCAGTTAGATAACTGACCCATCAGTTAGGTAACTGACCCAACAGTTAGGTAACTGACCCAGCAGTTAGATAACTGACCCATCAGTTAGGTAACTGACCCAACAGTTAGGTAACTGACCCAACAGTTAGGTAACTGACCCAGCAGTTAGGTAATAGATTATTGTTAGTGTCGTGCGAGAGATGAGAGATGCAAGAGAGACCTAACAAGGCAGGCTCGTACACTCTAGTATTGACATATTTCAATAACACCGCCCGAAAGATGGTACTGTATATAAATAAATAAAAATAAAGATAATAATTAATTCAGACATTTTAAGGCTCGACAATAAAACTTTAGGTGCAATATGATCATTACCACATTAGAATTGTTCATTCTTAGGTTAAATGTCTAAAGTAAAGACCATTTCACATAAACAGGATGTGATGGCGTCCAAGTCATTAACAAACTGTGAGCAACTTTTCCCAGAAAGGCAGGAATACGCTATTATCTTGTCTGATGGAAATAAATCAATATTAAAAACCCAGATTACCAAGAATTGAAGCAAATGTAAATCAAGTGACCTGATGGAGGATATCGTTCTAACTCAGCTTTGAATTGCCCTCAACACGAGGTCAAAATACGTGGTTCTTGTGTGATTACTTTGATATTTACACAGCTACGCGATCCCTTGTTTTCTTAGTAGTCGTCTGTTTGGTATATACGTGACCTCGGTTTAATAGATTGATGTAATCTTTGTACATATATACATGACTATTTATTTAGTAGATTCACGTAACAGCTTCTTTGGTTATGTGAATTGTTTGTTTGGTAAAAGAACATGTCCATCTGAACAAATCCACAAGAGCCGTGACGAGGATTCGAACATGCGTCCAAGAGCATCCCAGACGCTGCCTAATTGACTGAGCTACGACATGGTTAAAAGGAGTTGAAACCGAACTTCTACTGAACTTACTGGATCCTGCAGTAAGTTCACAATTGCATGATGCATCACGCAATTGTGATTTCTGTTCGTAACATTTCCATCTGTTTGGTAGATACATGTGACCTTTCTTTTGGTAGATAAAAAGGTGACTAGTAGATGCACTTGACAGCATCTACCTGTTACTGTGCGGTCACGTGTATCTGTTTGGTAGATACACGTGACCGTATATATTTGGTAGATGAACATGAAAGTTATATATTAATTGACAAACCCCTATAAGCGTCCTCCAACTCCGACCACATCGTCTCCTGGAGTGAAACACATAGCTAACTCCTTCGTCACAAATATTACATATTTTTTATTACATATTTTTAAAATTTCCGTTGAATGTGATCTTGATGATGCTCGGCTGAGTTGAGCTCTTCACTAACATATTATATATTTAATCCTTAATTAATTGTTGTTGTAGAAAGGATATTATCACAATGAGTGGACTTGGCAAGCATTTGAAATACTTCACACTTCTGACAGTTAATTAGTTAGTGGAGAGACGCTCGTCTTGAGTATATATATATATATATATATATATATATATATATATATATATATATATATATATATATATATATATATATATATATATATATAAGGGCATAGCATTTTACCAAATCACCTCATTCTTTGGGGCACACGTGAGGAACACAAATGCGAACAAGCCTGAATGGTCCCCAGGACAATATGCAACTGAAAACTCACACCCCAGAAGTGACTCGAACCCATACTCCCAGGAGCAACGCAACTGGTATGTACAAGACGCCTTAATCCACTTGACCATCATGACCGGACAAAATGAGGTGATAGCCTAAGCTATTTGAACCACCCCACCGCCGGCACTCGGATAGTAATCTTGGGCATAGCATTTTACCAAATCACCTCAT